CAAAGGCAACAAAATTTCCGCATACTAGCAGGCGACAAAATCACCAGATAAAATAAAAAGCAAATTCATTATCATTTCCTTCAAAACTCTAAGTAATATAACTATTTGTTTTCTAGTTGCTGCGCTCCTAGCTACAACTGCTCAAAGTTTACAAAGTATTTTCCAACGGCGTTCCCAAGTACAGTTTTAAGCCCATTAAAACAACAAACAATATGTATTGATTTTTAGTAATCGACTGCAATGCAGAGAAATTATATTTATTCCAAATAATGGATTGGAGTGGTCTTCATAGCTTGGTGCCTTTTTATTTTGAACCTAATGTGGAGTTTCCTGTAAAGAAAAAGGAAAATAATGGTTCTCAGGACGAGCAAGCGACGTTATCCAATTTAAGCTTAGAATTTTTGCTTGCCGAAGCTGAAGTTTAATTGTAATCATTAAATGTTAATATTAATTCATACGTCTAAAAGGATAAATTTACTTATATATTAAACTGAATTTTAGTCTTCAGTAAAGGTTAAAAAATGTTAATTTTTTTATACGTATCATTTTTGACTAATCAAAATTTTGCCTTTCAAAATTCAATTTTCAAATAAAAATTCATTCTGCGTCGTATGAAATTTTTTCTGTTACGAAATCTGTGGCCACAATTCATTAAACATGATTTTTTTTAAATATTTTAAACAAAATCGAGAAAAAATAATTGCAAGCAGGAATTAAAAAAAAATCATTATTTATTCCATTTAAATGGAAATTTAATCAACTTTTTGTGAGGGAAATTATATTTTGGGTCAGGATTTAATACGGCGAAAAGAAGTTGGGAGAAAATTAAGCTGAAGAGACGCCGCACTTGTTGATGCTATTGATGCACTGTGGAAGACGGTGGGCCAGAGAAATTTCATTTCAATCGGGAGATCGAGCGGAAAAGCAATTTAAATATCAGATGAGGCGAGGCATCCTAATTTCTCTCTAGCTCGACTTATACCACCAGGCTGGGCTCTCATTAAACGAACGCAATCCCAGAAGTAAAATACACGCGCTCTGACACTAACTGTTCTCTAAAACCTAATGCTGCTTACTACCAAAAACTATGAAGTTAAAAATGAAATTATAACAATCAATTAAATTCTTTTTAATAATTTTAAAGAACGTCACCCATTAATGACTTATGATTAGTGTTGTACTGTTTTGTATAGTATTTGATGTTTTGAAAGTAAAACATTAGGAGAGATATAAAAATAAAAGTATATCTAGTTAATTTTCAAATGATAAATGTCCTTCTTTAATTATGCATGGATATTAATAGTTATTAGGCTGAAAACTAAAGAAGCCTCGGTTGACTAGCTGCAAGTTCATTGTAACCTACAAAATAAAAGAAAAACAAAGCTACCTAAATAATTATGGCAATTAAGAGAAAATCTAATTATGCTCCCGAATCAGCACCGACCTTCATTGCTATCGCGGGCCGGTGGTGGTTTGCAGACAAAAATTATTCTTATTGAGGGAAGATTTGATGGCATTTTTGGTGGTATCACAATTTTCCTTGTGTTTATTATTGTTACTGATGAAAACTTAATCTGCCAAAATTGTGCCTGAGGGAAATACGCCTGTACAAGTTGAAAGCAGGCTCATAGCGACTAACGCTAGCGTTGTCCTCTTTCGTGAAGAAGGAGCTTGGAAACGTAGGCAGGCATAAATTTAAACATAATTTTTTTCTAGGATAGTTAAGGCCAAATATGAGAGGTAAAGGTAAATCCAAAACCCAACGGTACACCGTATTAGACATGGTGATGGATGCGAAGAAGGAGATTCCCGAGCTAGGCTCGAGAAAGGATGCAACCAGTAATGACATAGAGAGGGCCAAGAAAATCATGGCAATTCTGATTGACACCAACGAAGCCGACCGAAAAAGACCCAAAGCTTCACCTGTACCTAAAGTCAGAGGGTAAAGTATCTAATTTCCTTATACAATATAATTTTCAGCAAGCCAATTTCCCCGTTTTGTAGCAAGTCGGCGCAGCCACTAAACTGTAGCGGCTAAAAAGCCATCGTTTGTTGCCGCGCTTTGAAACAGCGCCGGCGATTCCCTCGACCGGCGCGCCAAAACGCACATCTTTCCTGAATTTTGCACTCCAAACGACTCGAGAAAAACACTAACATGAATTTGCAAAATTTTAAAAATTTCCTTTTTTTTTTAAATAACATATATTATATATCGCATTTCAATTCCGTTCTATTGCTCCACAACATTTTTTATTTACCTTTTTAAAGTTATTTTAAATTTAGTTACAATTTATTTCAATGGTTTCAGCTTAGTTAATGGTGGAAATTGGTGTTATTCCAATACAATGCTCCAGTCGTTATTCATCTGCGAGCCAATCGTCTCGGAGATGGAGAAGTTTCAAGTGGAAAATAGCGGATTTGATCAGACTGACGCACAGGTTCTGCAAGCCATTCAAAGAGTCATCCGTGAGTATCGCCAGACAATTAATGACGACAAACTTCAAGAGCAAGTCAAGAATTACCACACAATGATTGAGGTTTTCTATAAACATGATCCGCGGAAACAGTACGACCTGTGTGAGCTGTGGGCCAAAATGTTTGAAGTGTGCATTTATACTGAAATTTTTGAAGTTTGCAAGCAAAGACTATTGCCATATTGCACTGAGTAAGATCTGTTATGGATTTTTTTTTTAATTTTGCTGACACAGATTTCAAAATCAGGTGTGAAGAGTTTGTTGAGGATGCCATTGAGGTGCTTGGCATGCCCATCCTTAGCCCAATCAAAGGCAAGAGCATTGCAACAATGATTCAACAGTTTTCAGAGAGCCACCAAGTCTGTTGTGGAAAAACCAAGACACTCTTCCACGTCAACAGCCCAGAGTAATTTTTTCCTAATATAAAATTTTAAAGAATTTATCCATGAAATTTGCATGCAGGTACTTATACTACCAAGTTTACCGGGTGGATGACGAAGGAAAGTCTAAAAATCACGTTCCAATTGAGATCAATAAGGTCATCCAAATTCAAGGCGTTGTGTAAGAGTAGCAAAACAATTAAATTACTATTAAAATCATTAGAATTAAATATTTTTTTAGGAAAGAAACCAGGCAGCGTGTAGCCTATACTTATGGCTTAATAGGCATTGCTTGCCACCGCGGGGCAACCATCTCTGAAGGCCACTATTTCAACATCAACTGGATTGATGATGCAGAGAAGTGGTTCCACATCTCCGACATGGATGTCTACCCGGTCACTGAACTCTCATTAAGACAAAAGGCAAAATCTGAAGTCTGCATGGTGGTCTACAAAAAGACTGTAATATCTTCTAATTAAAATTGAACTTATTTTAATAAAATAATTAAGGTCACTGCCCCTGCCTTGGATGGCGTTGCCGAGACTCTATAAAAATCGGCGCCACCTGAGTGCCCAAGCAGACGCTTCCTGGACTTGAATGTGAGTGGTTTTAATGGTTCCCCTTCAAGCTTGAAGCTGTTGCTTAGCGCCCGATTCCGAACAGAATTCCAAACTGAATATCCTTTTAAATCAGCTTAAAATGTCACTAATTCAGTCCGAACCTGATATCTCAGCATTAGAATATTAAATCTAATAGTAACTCCGCATTAGTTTGGCTAGCTATTGTTTAGTATTAAGAATAAACCATCACTTTATTTGCTATTGTTAGTTAACTTGTTTACTTGAAATATCAATTAATTTGCTTTAATTAAGTTAAAGCACAAAAGATAAAAGAGTATGTGAGCTTGTAAAAATTATTACACAAAAATATATTGAATTTGTTCTTGAATATTTTTTGAATTGAATATTTGGTAAACCCTAGAGAAAAAATTAATTAATAATAGGAAATTAAATTGATATAGCACACCAGAAACAAAGACAGAAAGTGGTGCAGGCTGATTAAGCTATTTGATTGGAGGGAATATTGAATTTTTAATTACATAACATAAATATTTTAGACTGTAGCCAAGTTATGTTAACTAAAGAAAGGCATGCCAATGTTTCAATGTTGCAGAACATTCCTACTCTTCTCTAGTTTTGACATTAATAGATGCGGCAAATGAAGTAATTTTATGCAAATTGCCTGCGTCTGTTTTACAACTGGCCTAATCAAAGCGAAACAGCGCCATTATTGATTTATGTGTAAATAACACCGCCGTCAGATTTATGTATTCCACCACCGTTTGTCCTACACAACCCAAATTTTATTGCTATATCGCTCGTAAAACCTACACTGGTCAACAGGGTTCCTCGATGGATCAGTCGTAAATTTCGATTGATTTTTATACATAAAATATTTTTATTTTCCAACCTTAAACTGGTATTTTAAACTAAGTATTTTTATTAATTTCTGTGCAATTTGAAAATATTTTTAAATAGCTCAAATTTATAGAAATTTTTGAAAAAAATTTTATGAAGTGTAAATTTTGCAAAATTTTAAATCAACTTTTTTTACTGTTTGATTGCATGATGAGTGCTAGTGCATTGATTTGGCCTAAGTGTTTGCCAGCCATAATATTGGGTGGCGCCTTATTTGCGGTTAGCTATCCCATATCTAGGCTACGTTTGAAACTTGTGTGCAGATGTTTGGCGCGTGCTTTTAATTGGGTATACCTGTGCACTGCGCGTTGCACACTTGTGTCGCTTATATTTAACTAATTTATAAAACTATCCGCTTCATGGTTTGGGATCCCTGACTGACCTCAACGTGCACGGTTTATGAGGCTCACTTTTCTGTACTTTTGCGCCACCCTTAAATCTGTTATAAGGAGAAAAAGAATCCTGGGTAGCACAAAGTGGTCAGTTGACAGCGTAATATTTTGTCAAAAATTCAGAGAAAAGAAAGAGCGATACGGTGCGCTGAAAGAATTAGGCAGCAATGACTGCATGCCGCGCCTAAGCATTTCGCTGCTGGCGGCGCGTTTGTACTTACATTACTGCAAGAATATACATTAAATTTGCACGATGGGAAAATTAAAAAAACCTACCTGAACACAATTGGTGCTGGCAAATGGAACTTAATGAGCAGAGTTTTGTCGTCGAGGTACCATGAGGTCTGGCCGTAGGCGGAAGCGCCTGCAGTGGGGTCGGGCGCGTCTCGCACCATGTGTTGATGGGCGAACGGTGCGCCAAGAGCAGCATGTTGAGAAGCCGTTGCGCAATCGGCAGAATTTGCTGTGGCAGCTCTCGCTGATTAGGTTCTTTGCAAATTCCTGCAGCTGCTCCCTCTTGCTCCGGCGCCCGTAGACACTTGACGACGGTGGTAGTCTGTGGCGTATCTGAAACAACAGTATATTCAACATTATTCACATTTCGGGACTCGCACATTGATAGTAATAAAATTTCGTTCAATCAGATTTAGGCTACACTCATAGTTAGGGTCTCCAAGTTTAAATATAACACAACTTAGAGTCTGAAAAATTCACCACCATAAATGGCTCATAGTAGTAAAAACTTTGGCGGCGACGCCCAAACAATTTATATTTTGTGCTAATTAAGAAAAGTTGGGTAATTGACCCGAAATTTAAAAAATAATATATATAATTATAAGTCAACTAGTTAAGTATTTATTGTTAGTATTTGGAAACGCCTAAAAATAATTTGTATTAGTTCATAGTTGATAACATTAGCTATAATTTTTTTAAGGTCAGGCCAAGAAAAAGTCTTGTCCGACTGTGCTATTTTTTGTGGAGTAGAGTATGATATGCACCACCCAATTTATCTTTCTATTTTTTGGGTTTAAAGTATTACAGAATAAATATGTATTAGAAAGTGTATAAATACTCCTCTCATTCTGCTTATGCTGCTTTGAGCACAGAAGAGAAATAAAACGCCTGCAAGAGTTGCAAGTAGGCAACTCGCTCATCTTGAGTGATGCACGCTTTGCCTAATTTGAAATACTTTCTTTTTCAAACTATTTTATTTATTTTTTTAATTCAGAAGTTTAAAACAAAATCTGAATATCTCAAACCCCAACCAACCTTATTTTAAGCTCCTTTTCAGATTTTTCACCCTTCAGCTTAATCTGTTACGCGACCACCAAAATAAACATATGCTAGCAAAACAAATAAATGACGCTTGATTTTTCAATAACTTGTCTACGTTTTTTGTGTTTATTGTATATTTGTTTCAATTCTGTAAAATTTATTAATTATTCTATATCTTTGTGGTATAATTTCACTATCGAGGGTTGATTCATGGTGATTTGAACTTAAAATTGGTTTTTCCTCAATGACTTCGATGAGTTTTGTGAGTTATTTATTGTTGTTTAATGTCTACTCTTGACCACCGGCGAGAAAGCTCATGAATTATGGCTGCAGCAATTAAAAAAACGCCATCGAGGAAAAGACGAATTTTAATTCATATCACCATACTCTTTATTTATTTGTAATTTATGCAAATTTGTTACTTAATAAAGCAAATAAGTTCAAATTACTCAATTTAACGATTGTACAGCTCATTAATTCCAACAGCATTCATGAAATACTCTCTAGTTGATAAATTCGTTATCGGCTTGTAATTTTGAATCTCTTGCGCAACTTAACTTTATTTAATTGGCTTTACATGCGCATCTTAAGGGTTGCGTACTGTCGCAAATGAACAATTTTTTTTTTAATATTTCCTAACGGTGCAGAAACAGAAACACATTTAACGATAAGATTTTAATATTATTCCAACCCGCCAACCGCCTATCGGCAGCCGTTGCAATGGCATCAAAAATTCCTACACACCACCAGATTAATTCTACTTAAAATAAGGAGCTCGCGCTTGTGCGAAGCGCTTTGTCAGCATTCTTTAGTGGGGCAAGGTGTGTGCATGCCAGCTGGCTGAAACAGCAAGCGCCATCAGCAGCGACGGCTGAAGTTTTTAATTTTATACATACAATTATAATTATAATTTCTCGGGCTTGGATCCCCAATTTCTTGCAGAAATTCGTTTCTGCGAAAGTGGTTTAAGGCGGCGATTATTGGTTCTTTTTTCGCCTTGTGGCCTGTTCCCGTCTTTATATTTTCAGTCACGTCCGAGATTTGAATGATGAAAGATGGGCAGCAATTTTTGCTTACTCCAACTTTAATTGTCGGGTCTTGCACCAAAACCCAGTCTCCATGAGAAAAATCGGTGTTTTTTGTCAAATCATTTCTTTGCTAGTCTTTTAATTTAATAAATTAAATTAATATTTTTAAATAGTGTTATAAAATTAGCATTTTCAATCACCTCTTCAAAATGGTCAACTAACTCGATGTAAAACAATTACGTTTTAATTATGTTTTAGTTTTATTGGGACCACAGTTGTTGACGTTTATATGGAGAAAATTATCTATGTTTTCAATAGAATTCGATTAATTCAATATAATCCACAACTTTCATAGAATCAACAGTGAATCTCATTTTCTAAAGAGTATTGTACAATGCCAAGCGAATGTGGGTGAAAACAAATACATCTGCCACTATTGGGGTAAAAAGAGAATAGCTCGAGGGTAAAGTATCAGATGCTGGCCAAATTTATGCCGAGCAAAAGCGAGGGAATTGACATTCAGGCGCGCGACAAAGAAAAGAGTTAAGTGAATTGACGGGCGGGCGGAGAGAATAAAGTTTAACTTTATTGAGTTATGATAATAATTCGGGGGGGGGGGGGGGAACATGTTCATGGCACACGCGTCGCGAACCAAACAAAGATTATCACGCTCTAGCGAAAGGAAACAAAAGCTTTTGAGGCCGCCACATTTGGCCACATTATATAATTTTGCGCTCACTCACATTTTTTCTGTCTCTGTCTGCTGTGTTTTTAAGTATATGTTTGCAGTGGAAAAAAGTCGGATGGCCTTTGAATATGGGCAGATGAAAAAAAACCTTTCCACGTGCGGTGCGCCGCTCTCTCGTAAATAACTAAATAAAAAAATAAGACACACATACACACACAGGAAACTTCTCTCGAAAAAGTGATTTGCATTTATTTCTGCGCAAAATGTTTCCTCATTTACAATTTCCTGTGAGACTTAAACTGTTTATTTCACGTTTGTTTCATAATTCATGTTTCAAAATGAAAAATTTCCCAAAGTCTGGACGGGAAATCGTGAATCGTAGCAAAGCAGCTTACCTTGATTGTTTTCCGTGAGCAAATCCACAATGTCGTCCAGGTATGAGTAAGAATTGTCCTGGGGAGGGTTGGTCAGCGGCAATCTTTTTCTGCGAACAACAAAAAATGCGTTGGAAGATCACGATTGTATATTTGTACTTATACTTTTGAAATTGTTGTTTAATTAAGTAAAAATATAACAACATATTTTTGTATAACTGTGTTAAGGTTTATTATTTAAGCGCACATTTTTTAATATTAAAAACTTTTTTATTTTTATTTAAAATGTGTTATATTTTATTAAATTATAAATTTTTTTGTGTTTTATTTAATTTAACAATAAAATAAATAACTATTGCAGATAATTTTAAAGGTATATATATTAATATATATAGAGGCTACCACTGGATCCAAAATTGATAAATTAACATTAATGTTCTTCTCAAATGCTCTCAAATGTTCTGCTTTTGTTGATAAAGTTGGTAAATAGAATCAATTGAGCCCAATAAATATGAGACGGCAAGTTTATTTTTAATTTTCTTTAGCCTATACACCAACTTAATTAATTAATTGTTCTTGTTTATTACGTTTAAACATATTATTTGTTAAATTAGTTACTTTAGACTAAACGCCTTTTACGTGGAATTACGTTCCGAGACGCGAGATACTGAGACAACCAGTGTAAAAAAGTTAGAAAAATTCCTGTTTTGATAATAAAAAATATAAATTGAGGGCGAAAATTCCCTAAATTAACACTTTTAAAACCACTCCAACTTGTGCTATCGATAACAAAGAACTACTCTCAGCTGGCTGAAATTCATTCCTGCTGAAGCTTTTGTCAAGGTGTGCATCTACCAGGAAATCACATTTTATTAAAAAAAATTAAAAAATAACATTAATAAAAAAATTGAAAATTATTTAAAAAAAAAAAATTAATACCTGATGAAGCTCATAATCTGTAAAGATCTCTTTGCTGGTTATGTTATAAATCCACTGCGATAATGTTTCAAGGTTTTATCACTAAAAATAGCGCAAAAGTTGGCAGCTCAAAAAAAATCTTTTGGACCAAGTTGTTAGTCCGAACGCGCTGAGAGTAGGAGATTTCATTGTGGATTGCGTTTGGCCCAGACCAAGTGCATTTCGGCCAAGCGGCGTTAGACCGAATGCATTCGGACCAAAGCGCTCTTGGACCGAATGCATTCAGTCAACTCAGCGCGTTCGGTCAACAACATATAGATTTTAAATACAACGTAGAAATTAAAAAATATTAAATATAAATATTTTTAATGACATTTAAGCGGTGTTTTGTTATTATTATTTAAAAAATAAATTAAGATCAGTTGTGTTAAAAAAATTTCATTTATGACTTGTAAATTTTACAAAATTGGTTTTTAAATGTTAAAAATAGTATTCAATTATCTTGCGCCTGTGGAGCTTCTTAATAATATTCTGCAATAGAATTTCAAGATTGTATGTGCGTCAGTCTTTGACGTAATATTATATAATAATTATCACTAATCAGGGACTATGCGCAAGATTTACAGCACGCGGCGCCTCTCCCTAAAGGAGCACCACAGAATGCGTTGGCGCAACATCCAAATCATTTATTATATGGATCAAATATTCCGAAATCTCTTGCTTTGCTTCTCTCGAGCACATACACGTTATTAAAAAAAGTTCCACTGAGAAATTATTTCCCAAGATTCAATTCTCACAATTAACATAATTCAATGGGCAGCGAGTTTAACAAGCTGAAATATGGACGGTCGCTTATTTACATATTAAAAACAGCAGCATCCTCACTCTCGTGAAATTATGTTCCGTGGTGTCTTTTTAAGTGGCTCCTCTCGTCTGGTCATTACGGCAACACAACTCGGTGGCAGTAAAAAATATCATCTGCCACCGCGAGAATTTTTGTTTACAACTTTAATTGAAATATTTTGATTGCAATTTTATTACCAGTGGCATTCATTTAATGGCGCCGCGAATAAATTCGATATTTATATGCGTGCTAAAGTTGCTGTTGACGCTTAATTTAATTAGTTTTTCAGGTGTCGTTAAATATTTATTGAAATTGAATTGCTCGTGAGTGCTTTAAAATTTAACTGCCTGTTAGCGTATTGCGCTTGGGGGATTATTACGTTATGCAACCAAAAATCAGGCAGGTGTGCAATTATTATACACATGTTCGTCAGTACGAGGAGATGTGTTGGGATTCGTGTTTGGCTAGCGCGTGTGCGAATTAATTATGAATTATTATGGCACAGAAACGAGCAGCCACGGCCGCCGTGGAGCAAGAGCCGGGTATATATTTCTCGTTCGCGGTTTCGCTCTAGCATAATTCAGAGATGAGCCATTTAGTGCCAGATATAGCACTGCACGTGTTCCTTCAAACACCGTAGACTTGCTTTACTTGAATAGAACGCTCTATTTATTAATTTTATTTATTGTTTTTCCCCCGTTTTTTTTCTTTCTCAAAGCTATTTGAAAATATCAAAATTAGTAGTTTTTTATTTTGAACATGAGTGATTGGGATTTTTAGGTGGCTTTGATGTTTTATTTTACGTTTCTATTTGTTTTAAAATATTTATTAACCTTGTTGCAATTGAAGAATATGAATTTATTCAGAGGTTTAAAATTTAAATAAAGCATTATTTTGTCACAATTAGCCTATTCAATCAAATAAAGGGATAAAATGCTTAAACTATTTCAGGTAAAATGTAGTTTCTTTTTTTTAATTGATTGATAAAATCGTGAAAAATAATTCTTCAAAGTTTATAAAATTTTTTTGGAATTTAATTCAATTCAATTTATTACAATTTTTTTCTGCAAGCAAGTCAAATAAATCAACAATCGAATTGAGGATATCAATCTCCTTCTAATTTAGCTTATTTTTCAAATCCTTACAAATTGCACATAATTCATCAAATTCTTCCGAATTAACGTTTAGTATTCTGCTCTCCCTCGAATCACCTTTCTACAAAAACATTCTGCATTCCCGACGATAATCTCTCTGTCTAAACTCTTTAATTAGCACCACAATCCTTATCAACACTCGCTGCGCTGTGGTTCAAATCGTTTATGTTCAGGTTGCCCAATTACCCAGTACTCTGGTTTGTCCTAGGTGAATTCCGTGTATTTTTGCCAAGGCCCTAGTTTGCATGCCGCAGAGCCTGAAATAAATGGCGCCATTATATTGGCGTGGATATTTTACGAGCAGTTGGCCAATTTGTCGAGCGCCAAACGGCACACGCGATTCACAGGCGAGAAATGCTTTACTAAAGCGCCTCTCTTTGTTGTGCTCTGCTTTTGTACCTCTCGCATTATATAGAAAAGTTATAATAGTTGCACACAGCGCTTAGAGTGTGTGCATTCTTTGCGGATAAATGGCCGCATGCAATGATTGAGGGAGAAAATATAATCTAGATATAATCGTCGATAATGGGAACGTCCTCCATTTAAGGTTAGTGCCATTATCAAGAATTTAACGGGAAAATTAGTATCTTCTTAATTTGAAGATGAAGTACTTGTATTGATGAGTTAATACTGAAGTTTGCAAAGCTTAAAAATTATTATTTATTTTATTTTTATCTTTACAAAGTAATTTTTTATAAGCATAATATTTATAATTAAGTAAATCTGCAAGTTTTGTATATTTAATAATGTAATTTATTTTTCATTATAAAAGCAATTTTATATTTATTATTTTTATTTTTTCTTATTCTAATAACACGTTTAATAAAATGTTAAAAAATCTTTTTGTTATTTATTTTGTTTGGTCAATGATTGTGCTTGTCTGTAGAAATTAACATCTAATTCATCGACTCCCTTTCTATCCTAAATTCATAATTATTAATATGTAAAGGTGAAATATGTTACAACTTAGTTAATATCAAACACCAGTAGCCATTATTAAGCTAATATATAATACAATGAGAGCAGGCGAGAAAAAGAGTGGCCAATGGCTCGAGATAGACGACGCTCCGAAATTCCGGCGAATTTCATTAATCCGAGCGTGTTGCAGCTCGCGTGCGTTGTTTGTCGCTGCGATAAAGAAATGCAGGAATAAAGGTCTGCGAATTTTGTGTTATGCACGGCGAGGAAAGGAAGGAACGCGTGCAGAGTGACCTGTCCTTTTTCCCGCCCAACAAAACAAGTGGCCGTTTCGCCCGAGCGGCTGAAAACGCTTTGACACCCCCGGACGGGGGCGGCAAAAACCACCCCCTCGGCAGCCACCACCACTTAGTTGCTCGGCTAGACCAGATTTTACGAGCACTTGCCTCAAGCTGCTGTGTGATCATAAAGTTGGTCTTCCTCTCCTTTACTTTTACTCGTCGCTGCATGAGAGCGGCCGTAAACCCCGAGCGCGAATTTTGATGAAACGCACAACGGCGGGTGTCAAAGACCTTTTTTCGCGTTCGCCGGCCTTTCTGCTCGGGGGTAGTTGCCTGGTAATGATGATGAGTTTGCCCGCAGCCTTGTTGACAACCACTTCATTTAATTAGATGCGAGAGCAGCGAGTGTTAAAAGGGGGCAAATTTCACAAAAGAAGGCTATGAATTATTAATTTGTTTTTAAAGTTGGCGTAAATTTTTTTTTTTTACAAAAATTAACTTGGTACAATTGGAGTTTCATGATGCATAATAAAAAAAAAATGTAAAAAGAAAATCAGAAAAAATGTGCTCAACATTAATTCCGAATCTGAAATACACGCGTGGGACTACTTCTTTGGTCTTTAACTAAAAGGAAGAATGTGATATTTGGACCATTGAAAGACATTATTTGCCTTAGTTTATATTTTTCTTGCTGATTTTGAGATTTAATTTAATTAAATGTTGATACATACAAAATTTTATTTTATTTAAAACTTGAAGTAAATGACTTTTAAAAGAAAAAATTTAACTTATAATTGTAAATTTTGGACAGCATTCATCAACAGTTATTGGGTGTTAAATAACTCAGTAGGGGATTTTACAGTTTTTACAAACATTAATGACTTACATTATACTTGGCTTACATTTTTTAAACAATTTTACAAGAACTTTTCCTCATTGAGATGTTATGATAAAAAAAAATCCTCCTAGTTTTAACTGTAGCCCTATTTGATGTG